TAGTGGATATTTAACTTGTTTCCGGTCATTACAGATCAGTGGGAGAGCACCTGCCTAGCCATGTACAAGTGTCTGGGTTCAATCCCCAGGACCACTAAACAAAACAAAGAGCAAGAGAAAAAAACAAACCCTAGCAATGACTCTCCCTTTTGCTGCAGAGAACCGCATGGTCAGCGGTGTGCTGTGAACAGGTTCCTAGGAGGCAAACTGCTAGGAGACAGGGAAGGTGCGCCTGTCATCTGAGAGGGGTGTCCCTGCCGCCTCTCCCTTGGCCACTTCCTGTGCCAGCATCATCTTTCACCTTTTGCCAGCCTGGCAAGGAAGTCTCATATTCACGCTAACTGGTATTCTCCCGAGGAGGCCTGCCACGTCTTTACATATATAAAAAGTACGTTATATTTCTCGCTCTCTATAACTTTGTAGTCCCTGCTCATTTTTCTCCGAGATCCATCATTTTTCCTGGTCATAGAGCTTTTCACATATGTAGTAAATAAGCCTTTTTGGCTCATAGGATTTCTAGGTAATTTCCTCCCAGGTTTCCATTTGCCTTTGATTTTGTATATGATATTTTGAGCTATGTGGACTTTTCTAAACTTCATATTTTTGTTTTGTTTTGTTTTTGATTTTCCAAGACAGGGTTTCTCTGTGTAGCCTGGACTTGATTTGTAGACCAGGCTGGCCACGAACTCACAGAGATCTGCCTGCCTCTACCTCCCTGAGTTTTGGGATTATAGGTGTGTGCTACCATCGCCCAGCCACTTCATCCCTTTTTCTTTTCTTTTCATCTATTTTCCAAGATACAGTTTCATTACGTAGACAAGACCGATCTTGAGCTCACAGAGGTACACCTGCCCCACCTCCCAAGTGCTAGGATTAAAGGCGTGTGCCCCCTTGCCCAGCCAAACTGATTTTTGATGTGTGTATAAATCATATTTGCATATCAATATTTTCCTTTATTTTTTTCTATTTTATTTGAAAAAAAATATTTCATGCCAAGATATATTTTTAAATCTCATATTTACCTCAAAGGTCCCTTTGGTTTCCTTTTAAAATATTGAAACTGTCTGTGTGTTGTGTAAAGAATGAGGGACCCTGCCTTTTGTTTCTCAAGTGACTAGCCAGCCATCCCAACTCTATTTACCAAATAATTCCACTTCCCTGGCTGGGCTGAAACGTCATCCTAATTGCTTTGTGTTTATACTTGTGTCTTGGAAATCATCACATACATCTTATAATTATGAACAGAATCACAAATACATTTTGTGTGGAGCTAGTCAGTGCTGAGGACACCTTGACACGGTTGTCGAAGGAGGCTCCTCCTCACCTCTGTCATTTTAAAAGCAATCAGTATACCATGCTTGACGACAAGACAGGTATTCAAAATGCCTAACGGGAAGCACGTCATACTGGCACAGAAGTTAGCTGACTGAGAGCTTCAAGGCGGATGATGGTGTCAACACACAATGTTAAGACATCGGCAGCTGGGAATAGTGGTACGCTGCTGCGATCCCAGCACTCGGGGAGGCACAGGCAGGCAGATCTCTGTGAGTTTGAGGCCATCCTGGTCTACAAAGCAAGTCCAGCACAGCTAGGGCTACACAGAGGAACCCTGTCTTGAAAAGGAAAATAAAAAAAGACATTGGCAGCCCGGCATCTATGAGACTGGGAATCTGAGATGACCCCTCACATACCCCATAGTTGATTTTATATTACATTTATATAACCCATAAGCCCTGATTTTCAAATTCTTGGTGGGTGAATCCTATGGCCAGAAGAAGGTTCCAGAACCTCTGCGTGTAGGAAAGCATAGAAAGGAGTCAAGGGCAAACTGAGACTTGAAACTGAACTCATTGGAGGAAGCAGGAGCTTTCTTCTCTGAATCATACGTGTAATTAAGAGGGTAAGTTTTTGAGAGGGGTGCCTGTCAGCACGAGGACACACACAGTCCAGACCACAGCCAATCTCTCTGTTTTATGGTGGCAACTGTGTGTTGCTGCCAAAGCTTTCCCCGGAAGCTACGGAACTTCTGGGTATAGTGGCGGCAGTCCACAAGCTTGCAGTGCAGCCCATGAGACATGTCCACTGGGCAGAAAGTGAAGTCACACTTCAGTGCTCAAAAGAAAGGAGCAGAGAAGAGATTAGATACAGGGAAATTAGGACACTGGAGGGAATGAGGCTGGGACACGATGACCCCATCATCTCAGGGACCCACAGGGAACAGCAGAGATTACTGCAGAATCATCTCTCTAAACCTTTTGGTTCCGACTCTTTGTCAGATAGACAACTGAGTTAGAGACTACCTGCTAGCTCAGAGATGTCCCCTGAGGGGTTGGGCAGACACCAGGGGGCTGAATTTACAGAGAGGCGGCCTGCAGCTAGAGACAGGCAGAGGCTTCTGTGCCTGGAGGGAGATAGCACTCTGCTACTAGAAGTGACTGGGCAGCCATGCACTGGGGACCTTCTGCCCGGGAGTGAGTGCTGCAGAAGGTTCTCAGGCATCAAATGTGCCTGAGCTTTGCAGCCGTTACGACGTCTCTGAGCACTGAGATTCTGTGGAGAAAAAGTACGCACATAGGCACACACATACTCACAACACACAAACAAGACATACACACAACATAGACAGGATACACATAACGCACAAACAATACACATACAACACACAATGACACATATGACACACACAACACACTTAATATGTACAGGGAAAATAACTGTACAACTTTATGTATAAAAGTATACCCATGGACATAAATAAACCTACTCAATCCCAGTTTTCAAGCTTTTTATACTGTCATTACAACTTCGATTGCACTGAAACTTTTGAGTACTTACTGAATGCCAGGCACCATACCAAACTTTTCACCTGTACTGTCTCTAGAAGCAGGTCCTGTCACTCCTCATTTTATAGATAAGGGCCCCAAGTCTAAGGACCATGAAGAACATATGTGGGCTCAGTCCCTCAGACAGCAGATGGCAAAGCGATGGTTCAAACCTGGCCCTCCCTCCCTGCCACAGAGAGGATGAGTTCTGCTTTCTCCTCCACCTCCTCCTCCTTCTCCTCCTCTTCCTCCTCCTTCTTCTAACATTGTAAACTTACAAAGATTGTAGGAGCTTGCCCACTTAGGACTCGATCAAACAAAGAGGATTTTTGTCCTATAGTAAGTGTGGCTTTGTGGCTCTAAGGAATATTAAATAAGAACCAGACTCAGGTAGGGAAAGTCCACTTAGAATAGTAAAACTGTGTTGTGAGATTTTATGCCCCAAGGAAATCACTGGAAGTGTATGAGCAGCAGGGGCAGAGACTGAACCGTCAGAGCGTGTGTCTTGGTTTGCACTGACTGCTGTTTATTCTCTCTCTCTCTCTCTCTCATCAATTTGACACATATTTGTCAACAGAAAACGATGCTAGCACGTACTGGAGAATATGCTAAGTACTCATCAAACAAAACATGAGCACAGGCAGAGAGAGTAGGACATCCTGCTCTCGGTTTCCTTAAAGCTAAAAGTGCCCCCCCCCTTTATGGCTTCTAAAACCATGTGTTCCTTATCCTTTTGTTGCATGTGTATGTGTGTGTGGTGTGTTTATATGGTTGCTTGCATGTGGACATACGTGTATGTGGATGCATACCCCTGTGCGAGGCTCGAAGTTGACGTCAGTATCTTCTCCAATCACTTTCCAACTTTTGCATAGAGGTAGGGTCTCTTGCTGAACTCAACGCTTGTTGTTTTGGCTAGTCTGGCTAGCCAACCCACTCTAAGATTCCCTGTCTCCACCTCCCATGGAACTGGGATTACTAGCAGGCTGCCATGCCCATTTTTCAGCCTCCCCCCAACCCCACTTTATTTTGAGACAGGGGCTCTCTATGTAATCCTGGCCCTCATGAAACTCACTATGCAGACCAGCTGGCTTCAAACTCGCAGACATCCATCCACCTCTGCCTCCTGCCCATTTGGTTGTTCTGTGGGTTCTGGGGACTCTGACCCTCATGTTTGATTGGCAATCGTTTTACCCACTGAGTCATTTCCCCGGCCCCGTATTACTTATCCCTGATAAGGGTCAAGCAGCCCTTTGCTGTGTTAAACATTCATATTGTCATCAGCTTATTCAGTTTTGGTACTTATTGCACTTTTACCACTGAAAGAAATTTCTAGGCTATTAGCAGTATGGAAATATTTTAGGAGACAGGGAAGAGAGAAGGATGCCATGGAGAAAGAATGGTTGAACAAGAACACAGTGAATGGGGCAGACTGTAAGAGAGGCAAGGTAGTGAGGTTGGGAGCACTGTGCCCAGCTGGGACTCAGGGTGTCGCCCAGGCTGTGGGTCTCCCAAGTGGGCCTGTAGCTCATCCCCTTCCTGCTAGAAAATTGGCCACTCAACCAGGATAATGACTGTTCCAGATAAATGCCTTGAATTCGTGTCTTTCACAGCCCCTGGAGATACCATTAACAATGAAAATCTCAACACAGAACCTTCACGGTACTCAGGAAAAAAATAAGAGCAGCATCATTGACACCCTTCTTCCAAATGCAAGGGCATTTGGGTGGCAGACCCCTGCCTTCCACAGGGATGAGATGTGTGGTCCTGAAATACTGAGCTCCTCAAAGTCCATAACATCTAACAATTCAGCATCAATGCTGTGCTCACAGTGGCTCAGGAAGGATGGCGCTCTCTCTGCAGACTGTCTCTGAGCAGCTGGTTCTGTCTCTCATCTAGCCTCCAGGCTGCCAACATCCTATTCATCTACCCTTGCACTCTCCTGGGCTAGAAAGATCCAGCCTCCGGTCCCATTCTCTGCTACTGAGTGTTTTGAGACATGCACAGGAGAAGGGAGCCTTTCTTCCCCACCTTGCCTCGGCAGGCCTTGCCCTTCATTTAATCTGTCCATGTACAGAGCCCCAGTACTGCAGAATCATCAAAGCTGGGCACCAACGCCCCCACTGGTGTGGGAAGCAAAGCCTAAGGCGCAAGGGCATGGTAAGAAGTCTGGGCACTCACCAAGTGCAGGGTGTCGGCTTTCTGTGTCTGCCTCTGCCGGCTCTTCTGGGCAGCGATACGGTTCTTCTCCCTCCTCTGAACTTTTCTCACATCGTCGGATGAGTCCTAGGAAGCAATGATAGCAATAACTAGATGGGTCCAGCCATTCATCTCTTCTAGTCAAAACAGGCTGTTGTGGCCTTTGTTATCCTTTCCTCTTTCCCTCACCATCCTCCATTCCTTCTGTGCCATCCATCCCCTTATTTACAAAGAGCCTGCACCCAAAGACATTTTCTTCAGCATTCCCTGCTACCCACCCTCAGGTCCCGTATGGCCTTCTTTTGATCAAAAGCTACACCAAGAAGTGAAAAGAAATTGAGTCCTCAGAAGGGCTGCTTTGGGAAACACCAGTTGAGACAATGAAGTCTGTCCTACCACTTCTGCTTCTCCAGAGCTGCTCTAGCCTCACATTTTCTCTATGTGTGTGAGTGTGTGTGCATACACACACTAGAACCTTCTTGATGTTTCTTTTTGCTGTTTTCTTTGCAAATTTCATTGAGCATCTACAATGTGCCAATTTATGTACAAATGCTTTCAGAGACACTATGATATAACTTCCCAGCTCTCTGAGTAGACACAGTCATTTCTATTTTACACTGGACAAAGCTGAGGTTCTCCATGCTGGTCCCTGAGCTCATGGCCATCCAGGGGAATGGCATCTTCTGGTGCTGATTCTAAAGCCTTTCTGAGAATCCCCTCTTCGGCAGCAGTTTCACTGTGCGGCCCCCTTATCCCAGACCTCTCTTTCTTTCTTTCACTCTCTTCACTGTACAGCCATCTTGAGACCTTCCCAGTTCTGAACATGATGCCTGCTAGAGGTGCCCAAAATAAATTTGTGAATCGAAGTGGAGGTCGCCTGCTTTAGTGAGCCACCGGTAGGTGCTTTGGAAGACAAGGCGCTCTTTGGATGCTCTCTAGGTACATCCTATAGATCTGGGAGATAGAAACCCTTCTGTGACCCCTACCCTGTCACCCACCTGCCTTGGCCAGAGAAGCACAGATTTTTGGGTGAGGCTCTGACCCCCTTCCCTCTTTATTCAAAACTTCCAGGTCATTCTAGCAGGCAGATGTTGGGTTAGAGAGAGCAAGGATGTGTTCTTCCTTTAATGCGATGGGGGGCCAGGTTACCATGGAAGCTGTGAGTAATTTCCTTCTTAAGAAGAGTATGGTACCATCTTCCAGGCAGCCTGAGCTGCTCTGATAGTACTGTGAGGAAGGGACTGTTTCCCTCTAGAGGGCTTCACCAGTATGGCTTTTCGGTTAGGGTCTTATGCCAGATGCGATAGCAGGTGATCTCTTATGATAGAGATGACTGTATACTTTTATTTGGTTGCAGCATTTTGCAAGCCTCCTGATATGTGTGTGAGGCAAGCACTCTACCACTGGGCTATAGCCCCTGCCCCAAGATGTGTGCTAAGAAAAGAGTGGAGTTTTTTAAGTTACTGAGATGTTAAAAAAAAAAAAAAAAAAAAAAAAGTCTGATCTGTGGGTCTATGCTGGATGAGGAGGAGACCTGTCTAGAGCCACGGGGGTATCAAGAATGTGATAGAGAGAGCTACTAAGTGTGAAGTGCATCCCATCTGAGGCACCTCCCAAGCTGAGGCATCCTGGCTTGATAGTCGGCCGGTACTCTCAAGATTTCCCAGACTCCTTCCCTCCATCCCTGGGTTTCCAGAGCTGGTGTTAACTACCAGTGAAGGTCTCCAACAAACCTCCCAGGCCACCGCCTTCTTTCTCATATCTGGAAGCCGCAGGGAAAGAGATACGGGCTGTGGTTTCAGTCTCCCTCCCCACGGGCTGTTCTAGTTACAGAGGCAGTCAGTTGGCAGGTAGACCTAGCCACCCTTTTCCTCCTGTCTACCGCGCTTTGGTTTATTGTATTTCTCTTCCCCGACCTCGGTTCTGTCCCGCTCCTTGGCTCTCCCTGGAAAGCTACAGCTCTAGGAAGCCGCCAGCAGCCTGTTGGAACACCCCTCTCTCACGGTATACCCCTCCTCTAAGTTCTGTGATAGTCACCCTTCACCCAACCCCCCTTCCTAGAAAGTTTCACTGTGCGAGCCTAACTGTGGCAGAGATGAGGCTTACCGCTGGGGAAGGGGGGGGGGGGCTTTGTAGCGGGATGAAGGCTTCGCCACCTGAACCTCCTACATAGCAAATACCATGTCCAGCGGCTACCCGAGGGGTCCTGCCGGGGGCCACTTCCTTCCCCATCGGAGCTCCCAAGGGCGCCTGGTCCTCTTTCATCCTCCCAGAAGCATCAGAAGGGAATGCGGGTGTACCTGCTTGCCAGGGGGAGGAGAGCGGCTGAAGCTGGAGTCGCTGCTGTCGGAGCTGTGAGGCATGGCTGGAGTCTTCCGGGCTCTCGCGCACCGTCCCAGATGCCCCTTCTCGCTCGCCGGCTCCCCTTCCTGAGTGCTAGGGGTCCACCAGCCCGACACCTTCCACCGGCGCCTCCCCTGCTCGCCCAGAGGCCACCTCCGACAGACCCCTGCGTCCTCCTCTCTCTGGGGTGCAGAGGGACTGCTCCCCGCAGGGACATCTCGCTGACTTTGGGGCTTGCGCACACGCTCTCTCTCTTGTGGTTTCTGGTAATTCAAGCTGGAAGTCACATGGGCGGAAACGTCAACAAGTTAGAAGGTAGTTAGAGAGAAAATACATATCTGGGAAAAGACCACAGAATCGGGTGAAAGAAAAAAAAAATACACAAACCCCCAGTATCTTCCGGCAGTTTGAAAGGCAGAGCGAGCTCTCTTCAATTGATGAAGATAGAAGAGAAAAACAGCCGCGCAGGGAAAATCCCCAGCCAGAATTAGCAAGTTCTCTGCTGTCAACATGGCAGAGAGGGGAGAGGAGCAGGAAAAGAATTTCTACCGTCACACGACTTGATTTTTTTTAAAACTCAAATAAAGCAACAAAGCTGGGATCTCTTTTTTGGGGTTTCAGCCGAAAGCAGCTGCCACCCTGATTTAGGTTAGGCCTTCCTCATTCACCTACAAGGACAGTGTGGTGGCCTAAGGAAAAGGGTTGGAGGGCACTGTCTTTTACAGACCACCCAACAAGAAGTTGGGACTATCCGAGAGTCTGGGGGGGGTGGGGAGGGCTCTGGGATGGATGCTGAATTTTACCATCACCTGTGCCTCTTAACAGGGCACTTACGTTCTCCTTAGCAAAAGGATACCTTCTGTGGAGAGGGTTCTTCAGGAGTTCAAGGTTGGCCATCAGGTCAGGACTCAACAAGGAAAGAATGTCAAATTGAGTGACAGAGGCTCTGGACTTGGAGTCAGATCCACTGTGATGAAAATCCATCCCCATGGCCTCTTCCTGAAAGCTACCACGGGTGATTGGAGAAGATGGTTCGCTAATCTCTTGACCCAGAAAACCCTACAAAATCATGCAAATCAAGAGGTTCAAATCTCCCTTTTCACTTCAAGAACACGCGGGAAACTGCCCAGGTCATCAAAGGTATGCGCTTCCGAAAAGCCACCAAGTATCTGAAAGATGTCACTTTAAAGAAGCAGTGTGTGCCATTCTGACGGTATAAATGGTGGGGTGGGGAGGTGCGCCCAGGCCAAACAGTGGGGCTGGACTCAGGGTCGTTGGCCAAAAGACAGTGCTGAATTTTTGCTACCCATGCTTAAAAATGCAGAGAGTAATGCTGACTGTAAGGGTTTAGATATAGATTCTCTAGTCATTGAACATATCCAGGTGAACAAGGCATCTAAGTAATATTCGTCATCGACCTTACAGAGCTCTTTAACCCATACCTGAGCTCCCCTTGCGGCACTGAGATGATCCTTACTGAAAAGGAACAAACTGCTCCAAAGCCAGAATAAGAGGTTGCACAGAAGAAAAATTATATATATATATATCTCAGAAGAAACAAAAACTGACGGCATGGGAATAATAATTTCAGTATAAAATAAATGCAGATAAAAGTAAAAAAAAAACAAGAAAAGAAAAAGATAAAAGAGAAAATCCACCCCCATCCCCATCCCTTCTCTACCACCCCCTATCCCTACACCCCCATCCCTACCCCTACTTCCACCTAAAAATGGGCCCTGCCTACTGCCTTTCAGAGCTGCTGCAAAGGGTGAGTAAAAATTGGAATTGGAATGCTCCCCCAGCCCCTGTGAAGCATGCTAGGAGATGGTTGTGCTTGTCATGTGTCACATGGCATGAGCATGTTTTTCCCAGTCTCATCTGGCCATATATATATATATATATATATATATATATATATATATATATATTTATTTATTTATTTATTTATTTATTTATAAACACATATATATTTATTTACAAAAAGGTCTGGGGGCTGGAAAGATGTTCAGCAGTTAGTAGCACTGGCTATTCTTCCAGAGGACTTGAGTTCTATTCCCAGCACCCACAGGGCGGCTCACAAACATCCTCAGCTCCAGTTTCAGGAGATACTACTCCCTCTTCTGGCCTCCTCAGATACCAGGAATGCACATGCGCACATAGATATGTGTGGGCAAAACATACGTATTACAGCAAGCAGTCTTACTATATTCTGGGTGTGGCCCAAACGCTCATCTTTGCTTAACCCGAGGGCTGGCAATGTGTTATGGCTCCTGAAGCATCTTCGTGGTCACTGATCAAGATTCTGCCTGATGACAATATTGTTCTAAGGGCAAACTTACCAAAAACAAAACAAAGCAGAGAAACCTCAAGCCTTGCAGAATTTTTATTTAGTGGCGAGAGCAGTCAGTAAACAAGTGAGTTGACGCATGATACAGCAGAGGGTGACAAGCGCCACAGGTAAAAATATAAGCGGGGCGGGAGGGTTCCGAGGATGGCCACCTCTGTAAGCCAGTCAGGAAAGGCTTGACCGAAAGGGTATCTAGGTGAAGAAAATCCCAGGAGGGAATGTCTCTGGATCAGAGGTCCTGAGGGGAGCAGCAGGTGGTCGGGTCGGCAAGGACGGTCCTCGAGGTTCTTGGAGTCCGTTGGGAGGATTTTTGTCGTATTCGAAAGTAAACGGAGAATCAACCACAGGTCCGTGGCCCCACCCCCACTCTCACTCGACCTTGGTAATTTTCTGTTTGCTTCAAAGCCCTTACCATAGTCCCTGATTACTTGTTGCTTGTTTTGTGTGTGTGTGTGTGTGTGTGTGTGTTTGTTGTTTTCTGTTTTATTTTGTTTTTTCAAGACAGGGTTTCTCTGTGTAACCTTGGCTGTCCTGGACTTGCTTAGTAGACCAGGCTGGCCTCGGACTCACAGAGATGCACCTGCCTCTGCCTCCCAGAGTTCTGGGATTACAGATGTGCACACCGGGCTGGATGTTCCTGATTCCTTTAATACTTGTTTTCTTCATTGGAATGCTAACTCCATTTGTGAATTTCTTAATTATTCCAGCAAATGTTCCTTGAGCACCTACCATGTTCCAGGCAAAAAGTTTGACCTTTCCTCTGGCTGAGATGGTTTATCAATAAGTTTCCACTGTGTAACAGACCAAGAACATCTCAATAGCTTTAAACAAACACATTTTTGGCTTACGAACTTGTAGGTCATTCAGAAGATTCCAGAAGGCTCCAGTACCTCTGATCTCATATGGGCTTCTCTGATGATAGGTTGGCTGGTAATTGACTGGGCTGAGAAGGCTTTTGCAGTATTCTCCCAGGCCCATTCCACCCCACCTCTCAGCAATCCTGCCTGTTCTTTACTTGGCAGGATTCTAAAAGCAGAACTCAGGACCTCCCCAAATCCATGCTCAGATCCAGCTCAGTGTCCCATCTCATACACATTATTGACCAAAGAAAGTCACAAAGCCACCCAACACCCACCGTTCAGTGGGCTGAAAATGTGGTCCACCTCTTGATGTGGGCCCAGTTAAGTCTTGTGGTCTTGTCTGCTGCTGCCCACACTCAGTCAGCCATTGGTAGTGTCAGAGCAGAGAAGTAATGTGCTTTGACTCGGGTTTCGTCGGATCCCTTTAGACACAGTTGAGATTTTACTATGGGTGGAAAAGAGAGTGAGGGGAGGCCAGCAGGGATTAAAATGTTGGATTTAGTGCAATGACCTGAGCAAAAGATATTGGTAGCATAAATCATGGAGGTGGTGATGAAAGTGGTGAGGTGTGGCCGTGTTCAAGCTGCCTCATTGTGTTTACAGTTGTACTTCTGGACCCTTGTAGGTACCCAGAAGAGAGCTGTCTGAGTAAGCGTCCAAATGAATTTCCACACAACTGAAAGTTATGACCTGTGTCTTCATTACACCTAGGTATATTATAAAAACTCCTTAAGGGTTATAGAAATCACACTTATAATAATACTTAGTTTCACCTGACATATTTATCACCTATTATGTGTTATAATGGAAATTAAGAAATAATAAGCAAGACAGAGTCCCTGCTTTCACAGAAAGGAAAACACAGTCAATTATGTGTTATATATATATATGTACACAAAATTCTTAGCTCTTCGAATATTTAATCACTGTCAATGGCGGCATGGACTCAGTGGTGTCCAGTCTATGCAGTAGTCAAATACTAGAGACTAATGAGAAGAAAAACACAAAGTGGTCACTTTTGTATAGAAAGAGGAGTCCTGTTAAATGAAACACCAAAAAATTATTTAAAATAATTAAGTTTAAAAATAATAAACACCTGGCACACACCTGTAATCCCAGAACTCAGGGAGGCAGAGGCAGGAGGATAGCTGTGAGTTAGAGGGCAGCCTGGTCTACAAACAAGTCCAGGACAGTCAAGGCTACACAGAGAAAGCCTGTCTCATAAAACCAAAAACCAAACCAAACCAAAGTAAAACAAAACAAAACAAAAAAACCCCCAAGAGCATGGGGGCTGAGTGTGTAGCTCAGTGGAAAAGTGCTTGCCTTGTATGCACCAAGGCCCAAGGTTCAATCCCCGCTACTGTCAAATAATAAAAGTATCAGAGAAAGGCTTTGTAAAATAATAATAATAACAATAATAATAAGTAAACTTCGAGGCTGGCAAGCTGGCTCAGAGGATAAAAGTGCTTGGCACCCAAGCCTGGGGACCTGGGTTTGGCTCCCGGAGCTAACTGTAAAGATGGAAGGAGAGAATAGATTCTACAAACTTGTCCTCTGCCCAGCACTAGTAGGTCTGGCACATGACCCTCCAAATAATAATAATAATAATAATATAATTATTATTAATAATAATTATAATTATTAATAATAATAATAATTATTATTATAATAAATAGTAGTAATATATTTTAAAATGCCACACACAGCAGATCTGGTATGAAGAGATTTATTGTATGGAGGTGAAGAAAGAGACAAAGAGACAGAGAGAGAGAGCTAGAGAAAGATGGGGAGAGGAAGTGCCCAGACACAGGGAAGGGGAGGGAAATAGAAGCAGAGAGGGCCTGAAGTGAAGGGTTGATGATGTAAGGTTGCTAGGTAACCTAGGAGTGGGCTAGTGCATTGGCTTGCGAACTAACAAAAACAATACAACATCACCACCAACAATAATAATACTTGGGTCTCATTACAGTACAAGACTGGACAGTCAACAGCAGTGAGAATGAGGCAGGACCTCCTGTGTTGTTACTGTTGCCCCAAAC